TCCTACCATATGCTACTGCACCTTGATACTCGGAAGTCTCATGACCACTCAGTGACATGGATTTTTCAAGTCTTCAAACGAGAAGTTTTCCTCACTCGGGAAATTAAGGGAGCACTACCTCAACCTACATGCTTCACTCACAAAGCTTCAACAAAAGGAAAAATTCCAAGAACTTAGTGAAGAAGGCCTTGGTGTATTTAACACAATACGTTGAAATGAAGCAAAGCTTGTTTATTGATATCTCTGATAAGTTACAATGGATCAAAATAAACAAACAAGAGGGAGCCTTCACAAAGGTTGTTCAGGACAAGTCTCAGTGGTCGGCATAGCCCCAGAAAGAGAAGGCACTAGAGGGTGATTATTCAGAGCCTCAGTACTAGGCAGAACCCCAGAAGGAGGAGGCACCGAAGGTTGATCATTTGGAGCTTCATTACGCGGTACAGCCCCAGAAGCCGAAGGCAATAAATGCCTTTGGAACAAACCTACAAACCTCTGATGATCAAGTAAAATTTGACCATCAGATTCCTATAGCTGGTCGAGCTTCCTCTTCATGTTTGTAGCATAGTCATGTGCGAGCCTGTGCAACTGTTTATTCTCATGCTTGAGCCCTCTAATCTCCTGTTTAAGACTTATCACTTCAGCCGCTAATGATTCAACTTGGCGGGTTCGAGCAAATAGGCGTTGGGCCATATTAGACACAGAACCTGCACACTGAACACTAAGAGCCATAGAATCCTTAACAGCCAACTCATCAGACCGTTTGGAAAGTAGTCTGTTATCTTTGAGAGTGAGAAGGTTCCTGGCCACCACTGCAGCGATCATATCATTCTTCATCACAGAGTCCCCAACGGTAAGAAGACCAGTAGGGGATAAGAAGGATGGGCGGTATATGTTGTCTTGAGAAGGCATGGATGCATCTTCACAAAAGTTCAAGTCAAAACGACGGTCAGATGGGCCAGACATTCTAAAAAATGATGAAGGAGAAATGAGGTGCAATAAATCTCTGAAGTAAGGGGAAAATTCCTACAAGCAATAACTCTCTGAATGTACTCCTTGCACACAATTGGTGCCCTTATAAAAGAAAGGGCAACAGGGCCGTTGATTCAAAAATCGAAAAGGCACCACTCTCCGGATTCTGAAGAGGCACCACTCTCCGGATTTCGAAGAGACATCACTTTTCACACTCAACATCAGCTCCTCGGGTACCACAGATAACTTTGCCAAAGATCTCTGACAAAGTTTAGACACATAAATTTTGAAGGTCCAGCTACCCTACTATTACCCACAAGGGTAAAGGAACAGCATCACTGCTTGATAACTAAAAAGTTCCAATGTGTGTCAACCTCCGTGCTCTGTGGCAAAGCAGACTGGCAAAAATGTCCAACCTTTACTCACATTCGAGAAAACACTCCCAACAAGATTGCCTGCTCATAAGTCGAAGAGGAATCACTGTTCGAATCTCGAGAGCCAGACTCCCAATATGATTACTTTCTCAAAAATCGAAGAGACACTGCTATCTGAATCTCAAGAGTCAGACTCCCAACATGATTGCTTTCTCAAAAATCGAAGAGGCACCGTTCTCCGAATCTCAAGAGCCAGATCTCTGACATGATTGCTTGTTCGAAAACGAAAGAGGCATCGCTCTCCGAACTTCGAGAGCCAAATTTCCTTGGATAAAGCTTGTCTGTAATCTTCACACGCAACATCAGCTTTCCAGATACCACAGACCACTTTTTCAAAGCGCTCTGACAAAGTTAAAACATGTGAAGCTTGCAGCTCCCACTATATTGCTATGACCAAGAAGGGTAAAGGAATAAATTATTAGTTGCTTAAAAATCAAAGAGGCACCGCCCTCCGAATCTCGAGAGCCAGACTCCCAACATGATTACTTTCTCAAAAATCGAAGAGGCACCGCTCTTCGAATCTCAAAAGCCAGACTCCCAACATGATTGCTTTCTCAAAAATCGAAGAGGCACCGTTCTCCGAATCTCGAGAGCTGGATCCCCGACATGATTACTTGTTCGAAAACCGAAGAGGCATCGCTCTCCGAACTTCGAGAGCCAGATTTCCTTAGATAAAGCTTGTCTGTAATCTTCACATGCAACATCAGCTTTCCAGATACCACATACCACTTTTTCAAAGTGCTCTGACAAAGTTAAAACACGTGAAGCTTGCAGCTCCCACTACATTGCTACGACCAAGAAGGGTAAAGGAATAGCATTACTACTTGTTGTTAGGGAGACTCCTATATATGTTGACCTCCATCCTCCACGGACAGGCAGACCTGCAAAAATGCTCAACCCTCCTCATATCTGAGAGGGCACTCCCAACGAAGCCTATCGAAATACTCAGATTTCTTCCCCCTAATAATACTTATGCAAACTAGCCACACCAGAGCAAGAGTATCTCATATCATAAGGGTCAAAAGCAAAAGTATCTCATATCATGCTTTTTCCTTGTCTTTTCCTTTGCCCTTGTTCTTACCTGCAAGACAATGAGAAAGAGAGCAATCAGTCAGCACTTGGAATCAAGCTTCCAGTCAGAAACTGACTGCCTAGAACCCCTTGCCTGATTACTTACCTGGCATTGCTCTCGAGTAATCATCTTCAACATCTTATGCTTCCAGAAAAGATACCACATCTGCCTGAGGAACAGATAGGGCAAGTGAGAAGGATACAAGGAAGCATGTGGAGACAAGCGCAACAGAACACGTGTCGACTCATCTATTACTTCCTCAACAGCAAAAGTATCCCATATCATCAAGGTCGAACGCACTTTTAACTTGATGAACTTGTTTTGACCCTCAAATTCTTGAGTCGGCCTTATACTCTGGAGGAAACCAGAAAACCCTCCAGCCTAGTTCAAGAATAAGCCTGTGGAAAATTACTTCTTTAAAAGCAATAGTATCTCATATCATCTCTTCTCCATTTGTTTCTCCTTATCCTTGTTGCTGTTTACGACACGAGGAAAAGGAGAACAATCAACCGGAAGTCGAAGTCGAACCTCCGATCCAGGTTGCTTGCTTGGAAGTCTAATTGCTTACCTTGTCTGTTACCTCTTTTGGCAAATCTCCTAGCTTGGCGACTTGGGGGACTCCTACTATAGGGTTGTGTATCGCACTTGACCAGGCTCGAAACTACAAGTAAGCTTCAAGTGAAATTGATATTACCTTGTGCATTTTCATCGGTTAAAGATACCACCCCTGGATGGAGGAAAAGTACTTCCAGAAAAGATGTCATATCTACGTATGAGACAGATAAGGTAAGTGAAAATGATACCACACTTCGATACTTAGAAGTTTCGTGATTACTCAATGGCTTGGATCTTGCAAGTCCCCAACCGAGGAGCTTCCCTCACTCGGGAACTTAGGGGAGCACAGTTTGTACCATACTTGACCAATCCCGAAACTACTGAGCACCGGTCAACGTTATACCGTCAAGGACCCAGAAGAGTTTCCCTCCAACCAAGAGGCCAATCACAGCGCGACACGTGTCGACATCAGAAGCCAATCATAGCGCGACACGTGTCAACATAAGAAGCCAATCACAACACGACACGTGTCAATGTCAGAATGAAACTAGAAACTCTCTTCTATAAATAGAGATCATTCTCTCACAATATTTCCTAATATCATTTGTACTAAATCATTCACTAGTACTCACTAAAGGAGAGCTTGAACCTATGTACTTGTGTAAACCCTTCACAATTAATGAGAACTCCTATACTCCGTGGACGTAGCCAATCTGGGTGAACCACGTACATCTTGTGTTTGCTTTCCTGTCCCTATCCATTTACTTACTTATCCACATTAGTGACCGGAGCAATCTAGCGAAGGTCACAAACTTAATACTTTATGTTGTACCAAAGTCCTCACTAATTTTGTGCATCAACACATTGTATTAAACTGTGATTATGTAAATCCTAGATTAGATTAGATTTGATACTAGTTATTCTTCGCTATTAAGACTTGTATTTCTTGGAGGAGAATAATATTTTCCCTGTCTTTTATCATTTGAAAAAACAAAAAAAAAAAATAATAATAATATATCTCAAAAAATAATAAAGTTAGTTACTAACCACTATGTGGTTTGGATTTTTGTTGTTGGTGTTGTGATTTTCTTATTTTATTTGAAAATTTAATGGGAGAGGGCAATTTTGAGATTATGAATGTTTCATCATTTTTGCTTTAATACATTCTCTACGCAACCTTAAAAACACATTCCCTACCCAACCCTATCAACACATCTCTCTCTAATCTCTCTCTGTACCTCCCTTTCTCCCCGTCAGATTAAAATAAGCCACAACAAGGGTTGTTTTATTGGCAATTTTTTTTTTCAAATTTATAAATTTAACCTAAAAAATTAAAGTGGGCGTACACCACCTCAGTTTTTTTTCTTCATATTTTTAAATAATTCAAAAAACTTGTTTTTTCATCTTTGAAAAAATCGGCGTTAACTAATTTATTCCAAGTGTATGTTATAAACATTCTTTGCACGTGTCACAATCTAGGCGGATGTCATTGATTCATAAACATCTTATTAATCTTGATCGTTAGTCCATTTTTTTTTGAACAAGCGATATTATGTACATTAAGGAGGGATGAGGTGGGTTTAGTCTTACAATGAAAATAAGCTAGCAATAATGTGGTTAAAATTTGCATTTGAACGCTAGTCCATTATTATTCCATTTTATGTTGGAATCTTTTTAAATTTATTTTTTTTGTATATTGAAATTTTTACACTAGGGGAGGGGGAGTTCGACTCAGTCACACAATAAACAATCTAATTTGGTATCAAATTCGCCATCTATGAGTTTGAACCTAAGACGTCTCACTTTTAAATAAAGAGAAATATCACCAGACCTCTTGTATTCGAATCTTAAAAATAGAAAATTCGCAACTAGTTTAGTTACTGAGTATGTCGTTATATAAATAAAAATAAATAAATAAATGAAAAATGCAATTAACCATTTTTTGATTTTTGGGTTGTACTTACTGGTTACAGCTTACCAGTCCAAACTGAAAGCGGGGCACATTTTTCTGAAGAAAACGGTGCGTTGGCTTAAGGCTTAAACCTCGTAAACCCTTCCCATGGCCGCCCTGAAGCTCCTCCTCTCCTCCGCTCGCCGTCACTGCCTCTCAAACCCTCACTCCCGTCTCCACCCACCTCCATTTCTAAGCTGCCACAGATCCCTAAGCTCCGAATCCGACCCAAACCCGAATCAGAACCCTCCGCAGCCTCCTAGACGCCAACCCGTGCCGGTCGAACCCGTTTCATACACTCTCAAACCCAAAGAGCAGTCCCTACCCGATCCAGATGCGACTCCCCAAGCAACATCACCGCCGCCTCCACAAAGCCCCGGTGACTCGCCCAACTCATCGAGTCAGGACACTCGCGCCACCTGGACCCGTGAAGAGGCGCGTTTCATCAGGGACGTTCCATCTATATCTCCGGTATCGTACCCGGTGAAAGTTGCTCCCTTACCGGAAGATAGGGTCGCGGAGGAGAGCGGAGGTGGCGAAGGCGGAGCTGAAAAGGATGTGGATGGCGTGAAGGACTTGGAGAGAGGGAAGAGAAGGATCGAGGCCGATGGTCGGATGAGGAGGAGGCTTTTTAGGGTTCCTGAGGAGGAGGTGGTGGTTCCTTTTCCCGCGTTGATTAAGGTTGAGAAGAAGGAGAGCAAATCTATTCTCGAGGTCATGGACGCAATTCGCCAAGTCAAGGTCAGTGCAACGTTTCCTCTCTCTCTGATAGACTGATTGCTGTTTGGTTGCTGAGAAAATGTGGGAAAGTTAAAGGAATTTAAGTTTTACTGTTTTGTTAGATAATTTTGGATTTGGGATATCAAATGACTTCTACTTAATCGAACTAATATACTGTTTATTTGGCTTCGTTGCAATGTGCTTTCAATCTCTGTTTTTATTTTGTTTCTTGGAGATTAAAAGGTAGTAATGTGTTTATTGGCAGAACAAAATGTAGGTTATTAATAAGCAAAATGAAGTTTTATCTTTTTAAGTTTATCTTACGAGCTGTGATTGTGATCGAGTTTTAAGACTTAGTTAAGTAGGAGCATATAGAGATCATGCTTGTTTATCACGTGCATATTGCGCTAACCGGTGTTCTTGCTCTTTTAATATAGTTGGATGCCCCCCCCCCCCCCCCCCCCCCCCCCCCCCCCCCCCCCCGGAAAGGAGTTTGTTTTGTTATTGTTTACTTAGAAGTGTTATGTTTTATTTCAAAGTATTTATCATTTCTAATCTCTTTTTCACATGGTTAGTTGTTTTACAGGCTAATGCCCAGTGCAAATTTGATGAAACTGTTGAAGCTCATGTACAATTGGGTATTGATGCGAAGCGAAATGTAATTTGTCAACTCATCTGAGTAAAATCTTCTCTTATCTCAAGCATATGTTTTTGTGTGTCAATATAGATATGTTGACTTTTACTTTAGATATGTGAATATATAATAGCAAGTCCTGAGTTTAGATTTTCAATTCATTTCACAATCCAATAACGTCTAGATTTAAACGATTGCCCACATGTGTTTATAGCTAGTTGTGTCCGTTTTGAATAAGGTGAAATCACGTGTGTGAGTGAGTGTGAGATGGCTGTTGGGTATTAACTGTAGGGCAGAATTCTTGAAACATTTAAAATTTGAAGGAATGACGTAAAGGAAATTTTAACAAATGTTTATAAAGGTTGGACCCAAGATGTTTCATTGGCATTTCAGGATTTGAATCAACTCAATGGTTTGGACTCCAGATGTTATTCTTTGAAAAAAGTTATTACGTGGCTAAGCTGTAACCATTATTCGTAAGTTCCTTGTATTTGTTGTTTGAATAATTATCAATGCACACCTTCCATGCACCCAAATATGGTTAAACCTTGACTGAGAAATATTGTCACTTTTTTTACTGTACTTTGTGAGCATAACGTTGCTCATTTTAGCATATCAATTGTATGTTTTCAGTAGGGCTGTCATGGAATGCTTCTCAAAAGAGTGATAAAGAAGATTTGGTTTCTGCTTTCTACTTTATGCTTCAGATTTCTTATGGCACAATTATATTTAATATTCCAAACTCCTGTTTAAAAGATTCAATTTACATGGACTACCTGATTGAAGTGCAGGCGGTTCGTGGTAACATGACTTTGCCGCATGGTAGTGGGAAGGTAGTTATCTTTACTTTGGTAAATCAATCTTTCTCATCAACTTTCTAGTTGGTTACTGTATGATGTCATTTTTCAGGTTGTCAGGGTTGCTTTCTTTGCTGAAGGCTCAGATGCAGAAGAAGCTAGAGCTGCAGGAGCAGATATTGTTGGCGGTGTTGAACTGGTTGAGGAAATTGCAAGTAATGAGCTAACTGTTGTTGCTACTAAATAATATGCTGAAAAAGAAACTCCTGTCCACTAGATATACCATGCAATGATATTGCCATTCCAACTTTTTTGAGTTGTGGTTTTGCCAAAAAAAAAAAAGAAGATTTGTTTTTTAAATTTGTGTTTATATGGGTTTATGTGAATCTTACATTGATTGAGTTCAAAGAAATCAAACAATTTATTATCTGCCTTTTATTATGCAGGCAGTCATAAGCTCAATGTTGACAAGTGTTTTGCTACAAATGAAATGATTATGCGCCTGGCAAAGGTTTTTGAGTTGTAATTCTTTACTTGCGGGATTAGTCAACTTTATTGTGTTTTTAATCAAAAGTGGATGTTTGATGTTTAACAGATTGCAAGAATTCTTAGAGAGCGTGGTTTGATGCCTGACCGTAAAGTGAGTTTATATGGTTGTAATTTTTATTCAGTTTGCAGATCTGTGGGAAAATTGCTAATTTTTGCTATACTATGTATCGTATAGCTAGGTACTGTCACCAATGACATTACTGGAGCACTGCAGAAGGTAAGACAAGGTCATATTGAGTATAGAATGGACAGAACATCAATTGTACATGTGGGTCTTGGAAAGGTACCATAATTACAAACACAATCTTTTCGTTTCTTCAGATGTTTGTTTGCTGTAGACATGGATATCACTTTCTTTCTTTCTTTTCAGGTGAGCTTCACAGAGGAGTATCTGCAAGAGAACATTGGTGCATTTATGAGTTCTCTTTTGCTGGCAAAGCCTACAGGTTTAAAAAAGTGTAAGTGCCACAAATTACTCCTGTGTTTCCTATGTTGTTGTTTTTGGGCTAAACTAAGTAAAGGTGAAGTTTGATCTGAATGTTCACTTATAATTTTACACATTGGTTTTTTTATCTGGCATCTGTGCAATTAGATACACCTCTCAGTACTGCTGAGGGTTGAGCCTTTTTAGCCATGTTGATTGCTGAACCATTTATGAAATATTTGGCTCTACTCAATTAGCAGTTAAGCTTGATTTTCTTGTTTCATAAATTAACCAAACTTGATAGTCAGTTCAGGTCCCAAAAAATGAAAATCCTCATGCTTTTATAAGGCCACTCAAGGTGGCAGTACTATCTTATAGAATTCTATAGATTGTTTATTCAGATGAATGCTGTTATCCTGATCTATATTGGTGGCCTCTACCCTAATAATATAAGTTTTTGGCATACAATGATTGTCTAACATGGTATCGGAGATTTCGTTGAATCGCTCCAGGAGGTCTTAGTTTTGAACCCTCTCCTCCAACTCCCTGATTTTTAGTTCACTTGCATGGTGCACTTCACCTATATATTTCTCCACTTATAGGAGGATCACAGTGCATGTGTTAAAGGGTGTCGTGTTAGCTTTGATATATGTTGTTGATGACCTAAGTTGTTGAAAGTGCAATACTCTGCTAGGAGTTGTAAATGATCAATTTCCATAAATGAAGTGCAGGTGCACGACTCTGCATAATTGTGTTTTGTTAACTCTACTATGCATAACAAATCTTCATGTCGCATTTGAGTCTTTGACCCACCTTCATAGTTATGCGGTAAATTTTGTTCGTCACCCTTTGATCGCATGAAGCACCGTGGAGTATTATAGTCGTTTCTTTTAAGGCCCTGAGAATGGCCTTATATCTGTTGCCCACTGCTGAGCCAGACCTGAGCTCAACTTTGTTCAGCTAGGTTAAGCCTCTGAGCCACTTAAATCCACATAACATCCCTAGCCAATCTAGAAAATCTTAGAGCTCAGTTTGGCTTAGCTCAACTGTTAACCTATACATTCTGCACAAGCAATTGCAGTGTTAACTCCAGGGTACAGTTATGATCTTGGTTAAATTTAATTATAGCATATTCTGTGAAATTCTGGATGGAAGATAATTAGCTCAATGTGTTAGCTGTATATAATATTTTCCGTTCTGCCCACCTATGTATCATTAAGAAGAAAATTGAAGAGATGTTTAGGACACTGCAAATAATAGTTGTGGAAGGACGTCCCTCTGTTTACTAGATTGTGCACTTTTAATGAATTGATGAGAATTTTTGTTACAAGCTTTTCACCGAGTATCGGATTGGACTTTTTCTTTTGCTTAAATATATATATATATATATATATGTTCTTTTCACGTTTACTAAAATCATTCACAATTTTCATTTTCACAGCTTCCAAATATGCGGGGTATATTAACTCGTTCCATATAAGTAGCACGGTGAGCTCTTAACCCTTGTTTTTGTATACTTTAGTTAAATGCGGTGTTGTAAAATTGAAACTAATCCAGTCCATTATTATGTGTAGATGGGTCCAGGATTCCCGGTTTCAATACAGTCATTGTCCAAAGCTGCAGATCACTACAATAAAGTGCACCTCAAGGCTTAAGTGACGTGATTTGTTAACATTTCCAACCAAGCTCAAAGGTTCAGCATTTACTCTGTTAATCTTTTACTCTTTTAGGTAGCGACGGCTCTCCTTGTCTCTCTCGGAGCGGGATGTTGATTGACGGGTTTCCGTGGCTTAATATCACATCATCACGATCTTCGTGTTTCTCTGCAATGTTTTTTTATTTTTTTTGAATTTTTCTCTTCGTTATTTATTTGTATAAATTTTACCGTGGCAATCTTCTAAAATAGATGTTCCATGATTTTGATGTGCGGCACATTATCGCAACTTCTCGATTTGGACGAGGATGTTCAGCATACTCCTCTGTGTAAATGCAATAATGTTCTGTGACTATATGGAAAACGTGGAGGCGAGACGGGTCCTCATTCGTCACTACGAACTTGCCCCGAACTTGATTTGTTAAATTTAATGGGTAATATGAAACAATCCATTACCCGTTAAAGAAAATATATTTTACTTCAATAAATAATAAAATAAAAAACATTAATACTAACTCTGTATTTATATAAAAAGTTGTCACTATATTAGTATCTACATACCTAAACCTTAAAAGTCCAAAAGACAATGTAACCATCGTCAAAGCGTAAAGGATGCGATTACGAGTGTTGACATAATTTTTTACATTTTTGTACTTATAAATTAGTTATTATCCAAAAGACAATGTAACCATCGTCAAAGCGTAAATGATGCGATTACGAGTGTTGACATAATTTTTCACATTTTTGTACTTATAAATTAGTTATTATGTTCAGTGAATACACACACACACACACACACACACACACACACACTAAATTTGTTATATAAATTATATTATATCTATAATATGTACTATTGGGTCAGATACGAAATGAATATGGATTGGGGACTCTTATAACCATATCCGAAACAATAAACGAATAATATTTTTGCTTTTTCCCCAATCTAATATAACTGAATTTTCATCCCTAAATCCGTTTGATCATGTGGTTATCCACGGTTATCAAGTTTAACGGGTTGAATTGCCATCCCTAAGGACTAATACAAACTTTTAGAAAATATTAATTATAATTTTTAGATATATTATAAATTAGTAGAAAATATAATAATGTTTACAATTTTTTTCCATAGGTGCCTAGATTAGGGGTGGGCACAGGCCGGGCCGGGCCCAAATTTGGAAGGACCAGACCAGACTTGCTTAAAAAGGAAACAGGACGGGTTGGGCCAGGTGTTGCAAATTTGATTACTGGAACCAGACCTAACTTGGCTCGTTTGAAACGGGCTGGTTCAGGATGGCGGGTCCACGGGTCCTTTTTAAAATTTTTTTTTCCAGTTTTGATCGCTTCCCGGACTCGCCATCCTCCAGATCTTCAACTCGGTAATCATACACAGGTTGGAACCTCTTATCCGTGAATTGCAATAGCAAGCAAGATTTTCCGACACCTACAAATCCAAATCAAAAACCCAAAACCAAAACCCAATTGTTTTAAAACCTCAATTCTCAAACCAAACAAAAAAAATAAAGACAGAGGCGTCAAGAATTGATAGATCCAAGGTGTGAGAAATCGAAGACAGAGGCGTCAAGAAAGAAAGAGAGAGAGAGAGAGAGAGAGAGAGAGAGAGAGAGAGAGGGAGGAGACTGAGGAGAGGAGAGTCTTCGATAAGGTGTGAGTCTATGAGACACTGTGGTGGAGGTCACAGTGGGGTGGGGTGTGTCTGCTCTGGGAAGGAGAATTGTAGAGATGGGGGGAGAAGAAACAAGAAGAGGAATGAGGGAGAATGATCGAGAGATTGGGGCACTGCTAAATTAAACAGTTTGCGCGACCAGGAAGATTTTGTCGCGAAAATCATTATTAGGTCGCACAAAAACTATGGCGACCAGAAAATCATCGCGCATATTTTGTCACGCAATGGTCGTGAAAAAAGACATTGCGCAACGAACAATTTCAAACTCATCGTGCAAAAAAAAATGGCACGACGCTTTACTACTCGTCACGCTAAAGTTATACGGACGAAGGTTTTCATCGTACAATATAAAAGGTTACAAGTGCGCTTTGTGACTAGTTCGTCTCGAAAAGTTTGCGCGACGAAAAATGTTAGAGGTGCGTGGTAATGCGCGACGAAGTTATAAGACGCGCTTAATTTTGCGCGATGACTGGTCAGCGTCATGCAAGTGTAATTTTTATCCAAAAAAAATAAATAGAATAAAAGGAAAATTAAAAAAAAAAAAGACTTCATACTAATGGCAAAAAATAAAAAGCAAATTAATGAATAAAAAAACAATTTTTATTTATAATATAAATAAAAATGTACGTACAAATATAAAGTTTTAAAAGAAAAGAGGAACAAAACTATGAAAAAAAAGCAGAAAAATCTATAGGAATGTCGTTCAAAGGATCTTGCTGCTGGTTGGGGATGGGGTTGGAGGTTGACGGGCCTGCTTGTTGTGCTTGCTCGGTGTGGAAGGGCTGTGAAGGTGATAGTGTAGAAAAACTGAGGAGATGTATTCTCCTTGTACAAGCATTGACATTTGAGACTTGTACAATGCCAGCTCACTCCTTAGGCTAGCGACTTCTTGCGTGCCGTAACTTGGCCCTTTGATTAGGAGGATGACGAGGCTCTACTCTTCCGCCGCCTGGCATTTCCCATCCCCCAACAATAAGTCCTTGGCCTCCGTCCTAAAGTCTGGTCCAATGTCTCTATCACGATGTGAAACCCTGCATCCTCAGGGGGATCCACAAACTCAATCGGCGTGTCCGAGGGAAGCTGGGAGGCGGACTCTTGAAGTACCGACTGACTCTTCTCCACCATAGTCACCTGTGAAAAAAAAAATGGATTATTAATAGAAAACAATTTGAAATAATTAGTATAAATGCTGAATGCATAAGAAATTACTTACATGAAGGGACTCGGTCAACTCATTCCCAGGCCGAACATAAACGTCAGCAAGGACGTCGATATTTGGAAATTTTGAACCCTCCTGAAATTGAAAAAGATAAGGAAAATGTTAGTAAGAAAAAAAAAATTATTAGCAGCATTTTAAAATTGGAAATGAAAGATGTAATATATACCTTCCGTTGTGCCTCCATCCTATAAGAGAAAGGCCTTGAACCTAAATGGTGGAGAAGAGTCTTCTTCTCCCGATTGATCTTGTTCACCTTCGCCTTCTTCTGTTATAAAAAAAATAAACGTATTAGTTGTAATACTTAAAGAAAAAAAAAATTAAACATTAGTAAAAATTTAAAAAAGTAAAATGAAAGAAGTCGTAATTAAAAACGCACCACATAGCCCGACTCCTGAAAATGACCGCAAAGCCAAACCCAACTATCTTGTCGGTCCTCCAACTCCTTCGGACAACCCTCCTCGAGAGCGACCTGCGGATCATCAAATTGCTGGAAACATTGGTGCAGGTCACTCTTCCACTGCTTGTAGCGTTCAGAGAAGAGCCGATTGAGGTACGCGAACATGTCCTCGTCCAGGTCCTCCAAATTGTAGTTTGTTTACAATGTAACAAATATTTTGAAAGTATTAGTAATAAAAGACAGTAATAAATGTAAATATATAATTTTACATGAAAAGCATTAAAAAGGCAACGCTACTTACGGACAATTGGTTGCGCACCGTGTTCTTTGTCTCCTCCGACATTGCCTTCCAAGACTTCCACCGCATAGGGCAAAAAGTCCGCACGACATGCCCAATGTCATGGGCTAATGAACTATGCTGCTTCGCCATTGGTGTTGCCCGATGTCGCGCATCGTATTTGATTGGGATGGCCACCCGAGTGAACTTGGCAGTCTTCAATTGCCGACAAGGTCCCCTGGTGTTTTTCTTTGCTGCAAAGAGATGAAAAATAAATCATTACCCCAAAACTAATAACAAATCCTACTAAAATTTCGGCATAACCTCCCTATAATTAAAACATTTCCCAAAACCCTGAAAATAACATAAACAATATACGTCTCCAACACAATGATCACAACAGTTTAATAGAAGGTTCAGAACGATGACAACTTTTTAATCCTTACATGACATAACTTAACAAATTGAACCTAATATAACAAAATTTAGTTAACATGGGAATGAGGGAATGAATTAGGATTGTATACATGGCCGTGTACCTGAGGCATCGGTTGTGGATCCCGATGGCGACATCTTCAATGGCGTCTGTGAGTACGTCGGGCGCTAGCAGGCAACGCCATTGAAGAAGTAGACGATGCCTGCGCATGTGGGACTGGATGATCAACTGGGTCAACCGGATTGACCGGCCTATGGTTCATCTCTGCCGGAGCAGTGGCAGCAGTAATAGGTGTAGTCGTCGGACTAGGTGTAGCTGTCGGACTAGGTGTAGAAGTCATCGCCCTTCGGGTTCTAATGAGGTTTGACATCTACAAAATTGGAAATTAATTTGTTTCGTACACAAAGATTTAACTTATCGTACACATGCTAATAATTTCAACTTAAATTTAAAACGAAATTTGAAAACCTTAATTCTAAACCCAATTCAAGTTTGGCAGAAACAAAACTTAAAATTGATATACTTACAGAAACTAATCAATTCAGAAAGGATATAGACCCAACAATTATAACTTATAAGAAGAAACTAGAATAAAGGAGTAGTTGGAGCCAAAATCTAGTTGAACGTGCTCTGTGTGTGTCAGGGAATTCAAGTGACAAATAAGCCACAAGCTAGTAATTTGGCTCCTCGAGGGTAGGCAGAAACCAAGAACATGCACCGAAGTTAATGGATGGAAACGAAAAAGTATGGCAGATATTCAACAATAACCAGGGATAGCATCATAGCCAGAAAAAGAAAGCATTAGGCATCTTACGAGTTACAAAGTCCAATATATCACACCAATACACACAATAGGTGCTATAACACAATTAAGACAAAGGGAAGCAGAGCATAACTGATAACCTTCTTTGCATCTCCCTAGAAGCAGAGATGATAACCTTCTATTTTCAAAAATTGAAGCACAATATTGGTCAATGAATACAATCAGAAAACCAATGAAAAGAGAGTAACCAAAACATCTAATTCTGATATGTAAGCTCTCATCAAATGAACCTTAAAAAAGCAAGTCAACCACAACAATATCAAAATCCATGGGACTACTTTCGAGCAGACCACTTGAACTTGAAGTCAAACAACAATACTAGAAAGCAATGGAAGGTAACAAAATTATGGAAACAGTAATTAAAATTACCATAAAGTAATGCAGGTGACCAAAGTGTACGTCCAAAAGCTAGTGGAATTTTCTCCTGAAAATTGAAAAAATCAAGAATGACAATCTTATCATATGAAAGTATTTTCGTTAAAGAATGACATTATTAGCAATGAAAGTATTCGTTGACAAAAAACCTCACCTGGTATCCAAAAAAGATAAACAAATTTCTTCAAGAGAGCAAATAAATACACATCTAGAATATAAGAACTTACAACACAATATTATTCCCCAGGAAACACAAAGTTGGATGAAAAAAAATCCCAAATTGCTGAACCCTTTCTCCAGAAAATGAAATTTTGAAATATGAAAAATGCCAACTCGCTGAACCCATGTTCTAGATGTGTTCATGTCTACATATTTTATGAAGAGAGCAATGTGCAATCACAGAGAAAACAAAAACAAAGGGAAGCACATGGAAGTTTACAGAACTAATCTCCGCATGTGCACTTTCCATCCTCAAACCTATGAAACCTATTGTTATCCCTCACTATGATAACCCTTCCTAAGCACTTGGACATAAACTTGATTGTAGTATGACAATCGCCACCAATTTAAGAACCCCTAATTTAAGAACCTTAAATCTAACCCCCAATTTAAGAAAACCTAATCTAACCTCACTGCCCAAAATCGTTCCCCTAATTTAAGACCTAAATCTAACCCCAATTAAGAACCCTAAAAACTCTAATTTAAGAACCTAAATGTAACCCCCAATTTACGAACCCTAAATCTAACCCGACTGCCCTAATTCTAATCCCGAATTTGAAAAAGAAAAAAAAAACAAACAAACCCTAATTCTAACCCCCAATTTGTAAATAAAGAAAATTGAAAAAAAAACTAAAGAGGAAATTACCTCTTGGAGACGAAGTCACAACGGCCAGAGAGAGGGACGGAGAGAAAGATGGAGATATAGAGGAATGAGAGAGAGGGTATCGTGCAGGGAAAAAGGAAGAAGAGGGAAGTGAGGGGAAGAAGGAGGGGGGGGGGGTTAAAATATAGAATCTTGTGCGACAGAGTCTTTGTCTCGTAAGGTTAAACAATCGTCGCGCAAGTTTTTTAAAATTTTCCCGTAAAAAAACGCCTTAATTGAAATTTCAGACACTTGCGCGACTAATAAATATATTTCGTCGCGCAAATATCCTTTGTCTGATGAAATATATGTATTCGTCGCGCAATATTCCCGCGTAAATTTAAAATAACTGTTAAATCGTGATTTTTTGTTTATAACCGTCGAAAAGTTTTGCCCCGTTACTTGATCTCTGAATGTTTGTTTTCTGTGATTTTTGGCGTATACGATCTCGAACCATATACAAAAAAGTTTGATGGTTGGATCGTACAATGCATATCCCATCAAAAAGATAGATTCACTAACACTTAGAGTTTATTTATACTTTCATTAAGTATAACATAAGATTTTGTGGTATCCACTAGTGTAAATAGTTGAAATTGAAGATCGAATTCATTTATTGTATTCATATAGGGTCAAGGAGTGTAGCTATAAAAAAGCATCAAAATCGGAGTTAAAATAACCGTTAAATAGTGATTTTTTTGTTTCTAACCGTTGAAAAGTTTTGTAACGTTACTTGATCTCTGAATGTTTGTTTTCTGCGCTTTTTGGCGTATGTGATCTCGTACCATATACAAACAAGTTTGACGGTTGGATCATTGAAATTAGTTTCGTACAGTGCGTATCCCATCAAAAAGATAGATTCATAAACACTTAGAGATTATTTATACTTTCATTAAGTATATATATCCACTAGTGTAAATGGTTGAAATTGAAGATCAAATTCATTCATTGTATTCATATAGGGTCACGGAGAGTAGCTGTAAAAAATCATCAAAATCGGAGTTAAAATAACCGTTAAATCGTGATTTTTCGTTTCTAACCGTCGAAAAGTTTTGTACCGTTACTTGATCTCTGAATGTTTGTTTTCTGTGATTTTTGGCGTATGTGATCTCGAACCATATACAAACAAGTTTGACGGTTGGAACGTTGAAATTAGTTTCGTACAATGAGTATCCCATCAAAAAGATAGATTCACTAACACTTAGAGTTTATTTATACTTTTATTAAGTATAACATAAGATTTTGTGGTAACCATTAGTTTAATAGATTTAAATTAATTTATTTTGTATGTATAACACTTAAGAAGTTGAATGGTATGTATATTTAAGCCAATCCAATGGTCACCAATTTTTTAAATTTAATTTAATATATATATATATATATATAATTTTTATAGTTTTTAGGGGTATAAAATTGTTAAATTAATATATATAATTATTATAGTAATTTCTTTTAGGGTTATAAATTATAAAATTAATATTTTGCTTGTCGTATCGGGTTATCGGGTCGTGTCAGGAATTGCCAGGCCTAGCTTGCGCAACCAAAAATTGTTACGCGTCACACAATTATGTTTTAAAATGGTTTTTAATTTTTTTTAATTTTGTTTACAATTTATTATAAAATAGAAACATACCAAATTTATTTACAAAGTAATTCACATATAAAATGGGAATCATTCATACCATTTTTTCCATCACTCTATATAATGCATTAACCATTTCATGTGTTTTACAAAAAAAAGTTACAAATATATTGCCTTAATCTTCATATGAACTATAATAACTTTCACTTTCGTTGCTATTATCATTTTCAGTGTCCCATTCCTCATCATCGATAGGTACATCACCATCGTCGTTTGTGCGCACTAAACCATCGTATCGTGGAATATTACTGAGGTCAATTGTGATCGACTAAATCGGTATTTCAATTGAAGATACTCCTTCTATCTGAAATGGTTCTTGAATAAGATTAGTATCTCGGAGTGTTTCCGCACCACTTTCCATCGAAGATTCAAGACGTTGGTCAGCAACATTGTCGATGTCGTCGTCATTACGGTCTTGCTATGGTATAGCATACACATTCCTATGATCCATCTTCTGAACAACTTTCCAACCCCTCCCGGCTTTAGGGTCATCTAGATACACAATTTGTTTTGCCATGGTTGCTAAGATGTAGGGGTCGTCATCGTACCTAAGTTTTGGTAGTGTTCACTGATAGTAATCCATGATCTCTTTTCACACTTCCATGCCTCTTTGGGTTTGTATCTAACCATCAACATTTAAATAGGATCACTTGCACCGGTCTTTGTAAAGCAATTGCATGTCGCCTCCCCCGGGGACATGAACACCGCTGTTTTGCATACACAACTTGTCATCTCGTGCACCCGCTAAGAACTTGACGCCCGTTGACATGGCAACCCGAGTACAATTAAACGCTAATTGGTCCGAACGCCAAGTTATATAACTCTACAGTGTACGAGGGGGAATTCGATGCTTTCAGTTGATTCACCTAATATTAGACAAACATTTAAATTTGTTAGTTCAAGTAACGGTACAATATACACATCCAATACAAAATCCTTCAAACTTATATATTCGACAAACAATTGCGGAAACAATTCATGGTGTTTCTTGGCATACAAATGTGAAGGATGTGCCTGCTTCATCATATTTTCATGCTCGTCTAGGTATGACAGTGTCTCATCACAATTGTTGAGTACAAACCAATGTGCTACCTCCATGTCCTTCTTGGAAAACGACTCGCCACAAATCGGATCTTCGAATGGTTGAGCGATTTGGGCGAAAACTGAAAGTTTCTCCTTTCTCACACCCCCGTCATTATTGCGAGGAGGACGATTGAAAGTTGTCTCAACATCCTTTAAATACATTCCACAAAATGTAAGCGCCTCATATGCCACCCAAGCTTGTATAATGGATCATTCGGGCTTTTCTTTGTTTCGTACATTTTTCTTCAAGTCTCCAAGAAGCCTGCCAAAAGAAAACGATACGATACACATATTACTAATTGTAATATATTTCATATTGATTAATAAAAAAGACGAGGAATATATACCTTTCTATTGGATACATCCATCGAAAGTTGACTGGTCCAATAAGCAATGCCTCGTTTGGTAAGTGAACCATCACATGTATCATACTAGTGAAGAAAGCTAGAGGAAATATCATCTCAAACTTGCATAGAACTTGCACAATGTCATGGCGCAACTAATTAACGTCCGTTTTTCGCAACGTTCTTGACGTCAATTGCGAAAAAAAAACTGGACAACAACATGATTGGTTTCACTACATCGGCTGGCAAGAGATGTCAAATACCCACAGGAAGTAGGCGTTGCAGAATCACATGGCAGTCATGACTCTTTAGGCCAGCTAATTTACCCCTGTCAACGTTCACACAATGCATAATATTTGAAGCATACCCATCTGGAAACTTTACAGACGATAAAAGCTTTAAAAATTCTTTCTTATCATTTGGTTTCATTGAAAAAAAATGCAAGATTCCTTCTAGCTTTATCATTGTCCCTATTCATCCATAAACCCCGTCGTATTCCCATTCGTTCAAAATCAAGACGAACTTTGATCGTGTCTTTTATCTTGCCCTCAATATCTAGAATTGTGCCAACCAATGTGTCAAATACATTTTTCTTAACATGCATAACATCGAGGTTGTGTCTCAAATTTAGTTTGGACCAATACGGGAGCTCAAAAAACATAGACTTGTGTGTCCAGTTCATATGTGTAGAAGATCTTGTCCTACTGACATTGGTCCCGAAAGGAGCAAAATCCAAACAGTTAAGCTGTTCCAAAATCTGAGCACCGGACCATTCTCTGGGTCTGAAGTGATGCTCATTCTCCCTGTCAAACTCTTTATCCTTCTCTCGCCACTTGTAGTCCCAAGGCAACCATCTTCGATGACCAAGGTAACAAACTTTTCTGGCATGCCAACTAGATGTTACATCTTCCTTGCATACAGGGCATGCCATATAACCCCTAGTGCTCCACCCGGAAACCATTACATATGCGGGGAAATCGTTCACAGTCCACATCACTGCAGCTCGCAAAGTGAACATCATGCCAGTACATATATCGTATGTGCGCACACCGTGTGTCCATAAATCTTTTAGCTCATCCACCAACGGCCGTAAGTATACATCGATTGACCTACCAGGATCCTCAGTTATCAATAGAGTCATCATCAAGTATTCTTTTTTCATACATTTCCATGGCGGCAAATTATACGGAAATACGAAAATCGGCCAAGTATTGTGGTGTTGGTTTAAAACCCAAAACGAATTAAATCCGTTAGTGGCAAGTCCCAATCTAACATTACGAGAATTAGCAGCAAACTCGGGGAACGTTCGATCGAACTCTTTCCATGCCTCCCTCTGCAGGATACCGCATCACATCGTCGTCTACCCGTTTTTCCTTATGCCATTTCATGTTTGTGGCAGTATGCGTCGACATATGCAATCGCTGCAACCTAGGTTTCAGGGGCAGATACTGCATAACTTTTTGTGGGATCTTAGTCGTTATATTATGAGATGTCATTTTGAACCTTGACTCATTACATATAGGGCATTTATCCAATGCCTTATTCTCTTTGTAGAATAAAATACAATTGTTTTTGCAAGCGTGAATTTTTTCATAACCCAATCCAAGACCATTCAACACCTTTTGCGCGTGTCTATGGTCTTTCGGCAAACAATTGTCCTTCGGAAGCATTCTCTTGAAAACCCCCAAAAAGTAATCGAAACATTGGTTTGACATACGATACTTTATTTTTCCATGCATTAGTTCCACAATGGCCGTGAGAACGGAAAAGCTCTCGCACCCTGGGTATAACTCTTGGTTGGCATTTTTTAATAGTTTTTCATATTGTTTTAATTTTGCACTGTCCATTGGTGTAGGCACGTCATCTTCCCCTTCCTGATTGGTGTTTGTCAATGCAAATGGAAAAGCATCATTTATAATATCCATGACTTGTTCATTAGAATCCACAATAGGTTCAACATTATCCACTCTTGTGGCGTTTGAAGACGAAACATTGTCTAATTGTTCTCCATGATGGTTCCAAGTATTATATGTCTCA